TTGCTTATTTGTTGAAAGATTTTGGTATCCCACTTAAGCTTCCGGTTTCATTATGGTGTGATAACCAAGCGGCTCTCCATATTACAGAAAATCCTGTATTCCATGAGCGGACGAAGCATATCGAAATTGACTGCCATGTTGTCCGTGACAAGTATAAATGTGGTTTGATTTCACCTCAACATGTTTCTTCTGAAGAGCAACTAGTTGATCTCCTAATGAAAGCACTGGGTTATCCTCTTTTCTCATCATTATTGTCCAAGTTGGCCTTGCGTGATTATCACCAAGTCTCAACTTGAGGAGGGGGTGAAAGATTATGTACAGTTGTTTTGTGATTACAAGATAAAATCTGATTTAGTTGTTTAGATTGTACTGGATAGATAAGATTGTGTTTTAGTTAAGATTGTACAGCTATTACAATCCTACTGATCAATGTATCATGTATGTATAAATAGGCATACTCCTGATGTACTTCAAGAACATAAACGATTTATTATTCCATATTATCAAACCCATCTTATGTTGTATTCATCAATTTGTTCAATACGATAGTTACTTTCATTTGAGAATCAGTTTGTGTCAGATAAATAAACGTGAAAAGGTAAAGTAGTACCAGCAACGAAATGAAAATCTTCTCCAATTACAAGCTTTGTATTTCTAATCCATGGTGGAGGGTTTTTTGGGTAGAGAGTTTGATAAAGGGGACTGCATGCTTGCTGGTCATTTTTTTTTAATTAATTTCATGTTTATGAAGTTACATAATGTCATACCTTCAACGGTCAATTGCAATTAGTTAAAACTTGAAGAATTATAATCTTATTTAAAACCGTTACTAGGTGTTAGACCCGTCTGATGGATGGGGAGCACATATACATAGACATTATTACACAAACAAATCAAAAAAATGTTAATATTTGTATAGGTTTTTGTATTTTTATAAAATATATAATGAATTCATTAAAAAATATAAAACACAAACATCGATAACACTTTACCAAACGAATACACTGGTAATTTATTTAACTCAAAAAAGATTGTTAAGAAATTAAAAAAAAATGAACTTTGAATTAAATAATTATATATCTTGCAATATTTCTTGGTAGACTACATTGGCAGTCTGGGGTGGAAAGGTCGGCTAGGATGGTTAAGAGATTATGATAAGAATTTTTTTTTTTTTGAAAAGGTTTACAATAAGGAATGGTTACTACAGAAACAACAACCCTAACTTGTTGTAGAGGCCATCCAATTTTTTTTTATAAGAAAAATTAAAATAATAAAAAAATTTGGATATCAGGACCTTTATTCCTTGTTTCGGAGTGACTTTTGATTTCAGTGTTTTTATTTTATTATTTTCTTTTTTAAATATGATGTATTCTCGCTTTCCTTCATTTTTTATTTTTTAGCCTCATTTGTTCATTTGATTTAGTTATTTCTCATTACCTATCTAATAATTTATCTTTAATTAACTTACCCGTTGTCAGAAATATTTTATATAAAATGTAAGGGTGGGACTATTTTTTTACCCTTAAAGAATATCATTTACCTATATTTTTCTTCGTTAATATCTTTTTAAACACTTTCACAAATGTCAAATCCATCCTGTTCATTTTTGTTTTCGAATTAAAGTTAGATTTTTTAAGAAAAAAATTTTAAAATTTGGTTCAAAAAATCATAAATTTACCACATAAGATTTAGTCATATGTGGCATGATACGATACCTTAGATTTTCTCTCTCTAGAGTTTGCTTTACTATAATATATATATATAGAGACTTCTTTTCAGGAAAAAAAAGGAATAAAAAATTAAGAGCCCAATATTTAGCCGCATAGACCCCTTAATATTTGTTGAAAACACGAAACATTTAGCAGTCACACACGATTAGACAAATAAATTTATCTTATTAAAAAGTACAAATATTTTTTTAGGAAACAGAAACTGGAATAAAAAAAATTAAGTAGATAACCAATTCAAAAGTCACTGTACTATTGTTGGAATGTAGTGTGCATCAGAAATCTATGCAAATTTTCAATGGAATGATGAGCACAACCTGAACTTGAAATTCATTACCAAGATTAGCTAAACAGAGGTAATAATCAAACTATTCTAGATTTCAAAACAAATAGCACCGTTAGAATCATGATTTCATCAGCATTCAAGAAGAACCATTTCGTCAGTATTCAAAGCCGTTTTTTGATTCTGTTTCTTCATGACAAAACAAACAGTTTCTCAGCTATTTTGCTTTTTATCCATATTCATACCATTTTTGTGAGATCCCGAGTGTTGAGACCTCTTTAATTACTTAGCGAGTAGTAGTTGATTCATGTATAAATTAGTATATTTATTTCTAACGTATGTACATTTTGCCATTTAGGTTCAAGAAAGATAAACTAAAAATTTGGATCAAAATATTAAAAAGGAAGAAGAAAGAATAGCCATAATTGAAGCCTTTTAATATTTTTATTCTTTGCGAGAGCCATTTTTAGCCCCACTACATCAACCCATCACCATAGTATTTTAACTCAATTCTATATTTGAAGCTAAATTATAGAAGTTTCAGGTTGGCCTAACTTCTTTAATTATTTTAATAAATTATTAATATAAAATTATTTTTCAGTTGCGTTTTTTTTTTTTTTTGGAGGAAGAGATCTGTCCATCGGATTTGCAGCGATTTGGTCGAATCAATATAGGGTTTGGATTTTTTCAGTTGCATATTTTTTTTCTTTTTTTGGTTTTTATTGTTTTGTTTTGTATATTTTTATATCTAAAAAATTAAAAAAATGCCACATAGGATAAAATCCTATCTAGCATGTACTCCTTGACTTTAGATTTCTCTCTTTGGTTTTTGCCTTAGTATAGTTTTTTTTTTTGGTTTTTATTGTTTTGTTTTGTGCATTTTTATATCTAAAAATTTAAGAAAATGCCACATAGGATAAAATCTTATGCGGCATGTGCTCCTTGACTTTAGATTTCTCTCTCTGGTTTTTGCCTTAGTATAGTATAAATTAGTATATTTATTTCTAATGTATGTACATTTTGCCATTTAGGTTCAAGAAAGATAAACTAAAAATTTGGATATCAAAATATTAAAAAAGAAGAAGAAAGAATAGCCATAATTGAATCCTTTTAATAGTTTTATTCTTTGCGAGAGCTATTTTTAGCCCCGCTACATCAACCCATCACCATAGTATTTTAACTCAATTCCATATTTGAAGCTAAATTATAGAAGTTTTAGGTTGGCCTAACTTCTTTAATTATTTTAATAAATTATTAATATAAGATTCTTTTTCAGTTGCGTTTTTTTTTTTTTTTTTGAGGAAGAGATCCGTCCATCGGATTTGCAGGGATTTGGTCGAATCAATATAGGTTTTGGATTTTTTCAGTTGCATTTTTTTTTCTTTTTTTGGTTTTTATTGTTTTGTTTTGTGTATTTTTATATCTAAAAAATTAAGAAAATGTCACATAGGATAAATCCTATGTAGCATGTACTCCTTGACTTTAGATTTCTCTCTTTGATTTTTGCCTTAGTATAGTTTTTTTTTATTTTTGGTTTTTATTGTTTTGTTTTGTGCATTTTTATATCTAAAAAATTAAGAAAATGCCACATAGGATAAAATCCTATGTGGCATGTGCTCCTTGACTTTAGATTTCTCTCTCTGATTTTAGCCTTAGTATAGTATATAGATAGATTGCCATGTGTAATCTCTCTGGTAAGAAAACTAGTTCTATGTATTTTTTGGGTACACAGTAAATAGTCTAGCCTCTCTTTTCGAAGTGTAGTAGTAATCTTTCCAACTACAATGTTTTTAAAAAAGAGAAGCAAGACAATACTCGGTATTATCTTAACTTCTCTAATGCACCTTGTTATCCAATCTTCTTGTACAAATGATAACACTCATCAGCCACATAACACGCTCTTCCAGATCAAAGACTTGAGCTGAAGCCCGCAGCAACTGGAGATTATCCATAGCATAATAAACATATATTGCTAGCAAACATGGAGTTGGAGGAGGGTGACGAAGGACATAGAAGTTAAATTACAAATAAGTTAGTGTTTTATTTAAATGAGTAATTTTGTAATTTCATTTGTTTAGTAATTAGGGTTTATTCTCTTATTTATGTGGCTTGGTCGTTATTGTAATTTGGCTTTTGATTTTTGAAAATATTGAGAATTGTTTCAAACAAATTCAAAGTCTTCGCTGTTGATCTTTGGTCCTTATGATCTTATTAAAAAAGTTATTAATCTTAGTAAATATATATAAGTTAGTTGATCGGCATTGGATTGGATTTGGCAAATCCGATACTAATAATTTTGTCTACTCCCACAAATGAGCAGTAATTCTGTCTACTTTGATTTTAGGACCATTTTTTTATTAAAAATTCAGAATTTGACATATCAATTTTTTTATTGAATATTACTTTGCTTAATATATAGGTCAGTCGAAAAACAATAACTTCACTATAAAATTTTTCTATATATATACGCACGCGCCGTTCATATAATGTATGTGTATGGTTGGCAATTCAAGAGATGACCAGTAACGATCGCGCCTATGCTAAAAGAATTTTTATACACTCTTTATTTCAGAAAAATAACAAACATTAATTGAGTTTTGAAATGTATTAAACAGAAAAATAATCCAAAATAAATTTTGAGAATTGTACTATAGAAAAGCTCACGTTACTTTCGTAAATTTAAGATTTTTTACATTCTCCGCTTCCACGAAATTAGAAATTCGGATTATTTTATCCTGACAATTTAAAACTTGCGGGCTCCGATGCCGATACATACCCTGATCATAAGAGTGCGTCCCCTTAACAAAAAAAACCTAATCAAAGCTTGACTAATGTCCTCCCATTTCATCTCCAAATGTGCGGACTACATACATTATCCCAATTTGGCACATTATAATTCCATTATTGTACCACAAATCATGAAAAAGAACAAATTTTCAGCAATTACAAAAGCCAATTGTGCATTATTGCTTGTTTTTACCAACAACAGCAAAAAAGAAAAACTTTGCTTCCTACTCATCCGCCTATTCCCTCTCCTCATCCTTATTTCTTCTTCCTCTTCTTCACCTCATTTCCTTTAATTTCTGTTAATAACCAATTTCTTAAACCACATTTTGGTTTGATTTATTTATAAACTAACAAAATGTCAGGTTTTATGGAAACCCTTTCCCCATCAAAACACATTATTGAAGTCAGCCCTTTCAATGACAATATAAAGAAGAAAGGAGGGATGATGATGACGATGACAGAGCAAGAAGATAAGATAGAGGAGAAAGGAAGCAATAATAATGCAAATGATGAGATTGTAAATAATAAAGTTCTAGTATTAAAAAAAACATGCAGTAGTAAATCATTGAATTCATCATCTTCTTCAAGCTGCTGCAGCCCTAAAGTTTCTTCTCCCTCTTTGCTACAATGTGTGGAGGACAATAAGGTTTGTCTTGTTTTCTTCGACTTTTCTTTTCTTTTTCTTTTCCTTTATTTTTTTTTTTTTTGGGCTTTTTGTTACATATATTGGGAAAGAAGAAAGACAAATAAATTTGTGTAAACCATATTTCTCTGAAGGATAATGAGAGATGTTTGCAGCAATGGAATGATCGGAATATTGGAAATCTAAAAAAAGTTTCCTTACAAGCAGGTATGTATATATCAAGCCACCTTTTCCCTCAAAAAAAAAAAAAAACACACACACACACACACAAACCTTCGTCTCGCCCCCCTTGTGCATGAATTTCAACGTCATAATGTACATATTGTATCATACTTGTGGTGTATGAATCGTATATTCTTTTAGTAAAAATATGGAACATCTATTTCGAAAATAGTTTATACAGTTTTATGTTCATTAGGGACGTGAATTGATTATAAACAACATAGTTAAAAACATATAAGATCAGATGATCAGATAGAACTACTGATCATTGGATGGAAATCATGAAAAACATGAATCGCACCAAAACATGTTAACGTGAAGGTTGGAGATTCAGCTAATTAAATTGATTTATTCATACTTAAACTGATAATAATTTTCCAAATCTAAATGCATAACTAGGTTCCAGATTAAAAAAAATTAAATTAAATTATGTGGCAATTTTAAACGTTTATTTCGAAATTTCTCATGAAGAACCTAAATTTGTAGGGTTAGTACTGATGATCGATTTTCACATGTTTATGCATATTGAGACCTACATGGGTTATAACTTAAAGTCACAATTTTTGAGTAAATCCTTAAATTTCATTTTTATAATCATCATCAATTTCTTATACACTAAAAAATGTTTACCGTCAAAGTTGACTTGTTATTTCAAAAACAACCAAGTCAACAAAATCAAATCAAGCATGTTGCATCTTAGTTTAATCAAATGACTAGCTCATCTTCGATTATGATGATAATTAGAATTTAATAACTCACTCGATTAAGTAACAGTTCGGGAGATTTATGCCAGATATTATCGGTAGCTTGATGAGATTTTCTTTTCTTTTTTTGTTTTATTGTTTTTTCATGAATTAATGTCTAAATTTGCAGATAATAAAGTAAATCAACGTCCGGAGGTAGAAATAGTAAGCATTTCAATCAAATGTCGAGACAGGCCAGATATTGTGCTAACTGAGCCATTTGCATCAAGTCCAAAAGCTTGCCTTTTCACCCTTAAGGAAGGGAGCAGATACCGACTCCGATTCTCATTCATTGTCTCCAACAAGACCGTTTCTGGCCTCAAATACACAAATACCCTTTGGAAGGCCGGTGTAAGAGGTAATCTAAACACAGGATTCCTATAACGAATACTCTCTCATGTCTCTAATAAGTCTATGTTCGAAACAGAACAAAAATGTATTATGAGATATGAGACAGTGTCCTTTTGGGTCCCGTATCCTTTTATGGGGAAGAAGATCCTAACTTACAATTTTATATTTTCTTTTCTCCTTTTGTTATTCTAGTAATGAAATATATATAATCCCTTTAATAAGCCTTTTTTTTTAATTTCATGATTTTTTGTAACCAATTTTTTTTTTATAAAAAAATGATTTGTATTGCATTTTAATTGTTTCTTTTTGTTGGGGTGCAGTGGATAGGTCCGAAGTTCGATTAGGAACATTTAACCCAAGGAAGGAACCATACGCATATGAATTAGAAGAAGACACAGCTCCTTCCGGTATATTTGTCCGTGGCTTGTACTGTGCAAGAACTAAGGTATTCATAGATTGATTTTCTGAAAATAAAAATATACTAGATGCTTGTCCCGGACAAATGCCCGGGGCGTCCTCCCACCTAATAAATTAATATGTAAATAATCAAATCTGATTAGAAATGAATTTAGTTTTTTATGAAGATAATTGATTGATCGAAAATTAATTTTTTAGAAAGTCCTAAATAAGTGGAGAAGGAAAGTTCCATTCACTGTCAAATTCAAAATTTGAATGAACATGTCCATCTGATCTCTTCGTTAATATTGTAAATATATATTATTTTTTTTAAAAGGAGGTGACACGTGGCAGAATGGTTTATGCAATATGGTGCATTTGGAGCCAAAATCTTTTAATAAGAAATTGCCACATCAGCATCCTGTTTTCTGCTTTAATAGGGTAAAAGGGATGTATAAAGAGAAAACACTGATTGAATTAAAGCAGTTTAGTAAGTAGTTTGAGGAATGTATTTGCATGGGCTGTGAAACTATAAATACACCCTATTTATAACATGCTGGAGCCACAAATTTGAGGAAAAAGTGATGAAAATAGTTAACTTTCAAAGGGAAAAATAGTAACCACTTTCCTCCATTTTTTCTGGTTATAATTTGAAGTGCAAAAATTTTGCTTTGAATTTAAAATTTTTAACTCACAAATTTGATAATGATAAGGATATTACGATCTTTTTATGAATTGGAACTCCTCAAGGTTTTTTAGTCGCAAAAAATTAATAAAATTTAGAACATTGTATTAAAATTTAGAACCATTTGTTGTACTATATTGTGTGTTATTTAAAAGTAGGAAAGAGTGCGACTAACCTTACCAATTTTGCTAGCTAGTAATTACATAATTAAAAATTTAGTCTATCGCCAAAATTTTAGATAATAATGCATCTCATACTGTGTTTATTACTCTCAACTTTTGATACCAAAAAGATGTATTTATCAATCTTAATTTTGTTGCATTGATCACCATTTCTCCCCCGTTCTTATACTATAGTCCACTTTATTGGATTTTAATATTAAAAAAACTGTGACAAAAAAAAATAAAAAACTATGTATAAATGACAAATTTGCAATTTAATATCTCTACAACATGGTTTTTCTACTTTTAGGTGGTGGATGCTACTGGTATTTGCTACTTGGACATCAAATACTACTTCGAGATTCAGAAGTCTTGGCCATCTTCTTGTTGATGAAATTTTGGATCATCATCATCTGATGGTTTTTCCCAGTGCAAAAGTAAAAGGGAAAAAAAAAAAAAGAAACTGATTGAGATGCAAAAATACGAATACCATTAAGGGGACTGAATTAAATTAAATTAATTGATGTGTACTACAATTATGAGAACATTAGCCTTTTCTTTTTTTAATTTCTTTTTTCTCACTTACCTCTTAAATTTTGTACGATATACCTATTTTTTTTTTTCCCTTTGTTATGCAGAATGACAAATTAAACATGTATATATTCCCTTGTGGAATTCAATCAAGATTTTTTTTACATTTAGAATTTGGAAGACCTGTAGGCTAATAAACTTTTTCTCCTTGAATTTTATTAGCTTAGGCTCATTTTTAATTTTGTACATTTTTACTTTTTGTTTATTTCGAGAAAGTTCAAACCCTTACTATGATTTTTTATTCTTAATATTTCACTTAACCATCTCACAGACTCGCCTCATTTTTCATATATATATATATATATATATATATATATATTTGGTTGTATCTACGCACATTAATAACTAATTTACTCAGAAAGTTTAAATTTACTCATACAGTATACATAAATGTAGAGTGAAAAAAAAAGGTTTTTAGTGGCAAGGTTTGAGGAATAAAACTATCTCATCCCATATATTGTATACAAAAGTTGGAAATTAGTCCCATGGTTGCATAAATCATCACCTCAATTGAATAATCCAAGAGTATATATTAGAACTGAAGAAAATTAGAATATATGTGTGTTGAAAACTGAATAAATCAACGCGATAGAATTTCTGTTTCATAAAAAAAAAAATTATAGTGCCAAATACCAATGATAAAATAGATTAATGCAAAACATTACATCCTCAACCGGGAGGCTCTCAGTAGATAACTCAAAATATTAGTTGTCATAAATAATAAATCCGATAAAAAGAAGAAAAATAGGGGAAAAGTTGCTTCTCTTGAAAATGAGATTAACTTTTCGAAATAAACTAGTCACTTTTTGTATTTCATCACAACTATATTCAGTAATCATCCGACTACTTAAGGTAGTTTACCTCTCCATATGATTTTTTATAATAATTTATTTTGTAATGGCGTTGGTTTTCCAATTTTCTGCGAAATTTCCCGCATTACCCAAGAAAACAATAATATGCGAATATGCGGTATTAGTAACAAACAAATCATAAGCTATAAATGTGATTTTACTGTTAATGTAATTTACACACAACCATGGTCTGCAATCCCTGAGACTCACAATGTCTGCTATAAATATACACAGGAACTCAAGCACATAAGAGATTATAAATGACAACTATATGCAGTTTTGTCTCTTCCAATGGTTTACTTGATCACCTTACAACAATTTCATGTAGGAAGTATACAGTAAACTTTTGCAGATCAAAGGCTGCATTTTATCCAAAACCAAGTATCGCCGTAAGCACAATGCAGAAAGTCATGAAGGCAATACAGGAGTCACTGCTGTTGGTGTCGAATGGCGAGCAACAAATGCTTCAATCAGTGGGTTCACTAGATCAGGAGCCTCATCTTGAGGGCAGTGACCTACATCGGGAAGGATAACAAAGTCCTCAACAGTGTCAAATTCGCCATACGCTCGTCCGAGCTCGATAGGTTCCCACGGATCCTTCTCTCCCCATGCCACTAATACAGGACACTTCAAAGAGAGATATTTTGGAAACAGGTTTTAGAATTTAGAAGTAAAACAATCCACGCCATGTGAACTCGAAATGGGCTACTTTACCTTCACCAGGGGAATGAGTTCCTCTGGAAGGGGTCCTCCTGAATAACAAATGAACTCAAGAAACACATCTACCGCACCAGGCTGAAGACCAGGAAGTAGGATGATTTCGACTAATTCGTCTGTAACTTGGGATTTGTCATGATAACACTGCAGTGAAATGAATAATATCAGTTGCTATGTGCACATCCAATTTCACTAATTTATACTCAAAATTTTATGTGAAGGAAACCATTCAGTCCATTCTTCCAAATAATAAATTAAAACAAGTCATCTACTATATATATGTTGAGCATGTAGAAATCTCATCAGGAAACACAAACACACACACAAACACACACACACACACACACACACACATATTCTGGTTCTAGAATTCTGACCACATGCATGCATTCAGAACCAATGGGAAATCTGTGTTTTGCTAGATTCCAAGTACATATGACAGAAATATTTCAAAATTAACAAACCATCTAACTAGAATGTGCAGAGACTTGGATACGGAGTTTGAATCCCTTAATATAGATTAGCAGGGTACTACTACTTAAGGCAAAGCATTCAGCATTCCTATCAGTTGATCTTAGTCCCTGCATAAATTTTGCAGATTCTCATGATCCTGACCTAAGGATTACCTGGCGAAGAATATTCTTTACAGACTCTCGTGTGGCAACAGATTTGAAAAATATCCTCCCAAGAGGAGTGTTTCTGAATAAAATAGGCAAACATGGTTTAGAAGTAAGAAGCCTAACAGGAATAAAATTTTGAAATAGAAAAAGTCTTATAATGAACTGGTTTGCGAATAGGTTACCTCAATGTATTCTGAAATGATCTAATTAAGGGCCTTGCATACCAAGGTTGCTTCGTTATATGAAGCATTCGAAGAGATATGTTTAGTAGAAGAAGTCCCTTACATATTTGAGGTTGGCTGACTGCAGCCTGGAGACCAACAAGTCCTATATAGCACAATAGCAATATGTTTATGAGTATCTCTACACCAATAAAATCTTAAGGAAATTGAAAGTTACATGCAGAATATAATCTGAAAAGCATCACAACCAGTAACATAGTTAGAGTCTTTTTCCGAAGTTTTTTTCTTTTCAGTACATAAAACACAATCTCAATAAATCATTGAAAGTTGAAGCTCATATTTAAACTTTCACTTTTGAGAAAATTGTCGGTTGGCTTGCTTCTAGTGAAGATCAATGTACAGAAGCAGCATATACATAATGTCTCTGACGTTTCCAAGTACCATGAATCTACCCCCAAAAACTGACATTCAAACGTTAAGACAAATGAAGTGTTGGTATCAGTACCAAATTTAAAGCCTGATCCTTTTTCACACTCAAGAAAATACATCATACTCAATAATTTCTGTTGGAATAAAAAGAATTGGAAGTTGGCATGAGACCTCCAGGAGTGTCCTGGAGTGCAGGAAAAGACATGAAACACTTTGGTCACAAAGTATCATTAACAAGCGTTAACTAAATTCACCACCAGGACTAATCAAGTTTCAAATAGGGTAAATAACAAAATAAAAATTAGTAAAACTAGTGAATGAATCACCTCCAATAGAGTTGCAAATGAAGAAGGCTTGATCTTTAACAACATCTCTACAGAAGTCATTTAGCTGGCTTCCCCATGTCTCAAATGTATAAAAATTATCCACCTGAAGGTCACGGGGATTTGGTTTGTCTGAATAACCATAACCAATAAGATCAATTGAAAATACCCGGTGTGACTTGGCTAGAACTGGTAGATTTTTCCTCCAATGGTCACTGAAAACAGATAACAGAAAAGGATATAATTGATAGAACTTGAAAGCAAGATATTGCAATGCCCGTACATAACAAACCAGCTGAACATTAAAACAAAGAAAATTTGGTAAGAAAACTAATGGTCAGGAAACGAAGAGCCTGGTTCGTTAAATTTCAGAACTTCATTGTAATCATATTCTCTACTGTCTTGAAAGTCGAATTTGTTTCAATGCCCCTTCTAAGTAATCTTTAGCAAAAAAAAAAAAATTTAAAAAAAGCATTTATCCATGGAAATAAATCATTTGCTATAGATTAAACATACACCCTCTTCAACAATTTAAGTTCATGGTTTACGGTTGCATGGAAAAGTACTGAAAACCCAGGAAACAGGAACAATTATAGTCATGACATTCCCTCAGTAGTAGATACCTATATTAAAATTTTGATGAGAAGCAAAATATGATCAATGTAGACCTGTTTGCTCCAAAACCATGAACTAAAACAAGTGCAGGTCCAATGCTTCCAGCACATTGATACCGAATAGAATAGCCCCTCCAGTTCCATGTCCTACAATAAAACAGTGAAAGCATCAGGTTACTAGACTCATGAAATGCAACTTCCTCCAACATACATTAGTATTGCACAAGGGTAAAAGAATGATGCTTAACCAATGCTTCCTTCTTGTTTTTTTTTTCCCAACTGATCAATCATTAGCTTACGCCAATAAGTGGTACAAAATCTTTACAAATCATTTCATATTCATTAAATAATAACAAAGATCCATGGATGCGCCTCACGAATCGCGATCATGTTGTCTGGTCATAAGTTCCGGGTTTTTACAACAATGATACATGTCCAGTTAGATTCATACGGATGTTGTATCTCACAGCCATAGGGCCTCTCTTTTGAGTTACACTATATAGGCCAATGAAAACATTGTCATTGTTCCTAAAACACAGTTGGGAACCAATGGAGGGTATTTCCAAAAGTAACCCGAAACAAGACCAGGGTCGGATCCCAATTCTTACAAAAATCCCATCTTCTCTACAGAATCAACAAGCCCACGTTGAAAGAACCAAGTGTTCTTCAATCAAAACACAAGCACAAAACATATGCAATAATGTAAATCATGAAATTACCAGGTTTGAAATTCAAATGAAGCCAAAAAGGGATCAAATAAGGAGCTTAAAGTGCAGAATCAACTCTAGAATTACCTGGTTTTAAATTCAACTGAAGATTCCATGTCAATGAGTGCACATAACAAAGGTTGCCCACGAGATTTTCCGAGCCTGAGCCTTGGATTTCCATGAGGAATCAAGAATTTGGCAGCAGGGGAATTATCATATGGTCTGGAACTAAATGGGATTGATGATTGAAATCTCCTGGCCAGCATTTGAGAAATTGGAGGTAGTTCCAGCTTGGACATGATAAATGTTGAAGTCTCTGTACTTGCCATTTGTCTGTGCCACAATGGGAATTTGGGTGGAAATTTTGCAGGTTGTGTATTTTGTTGAGTTTTTGAGGCAGAAAAAGAGCCACAATAATATTTGTTGTGAGGACCAACTGAATTTCCCTCCATCTTTTATGATGTTATATTGTTCTCCAATTATATTACCGCATTTAAACGAATGGATTATTTTTGGGGACCAAAAGAATATCTGGAAATTGTAATATTTTCTATCCGCAGTTTTAAACTAAGTTTGAATTGAAAAGCATAGTTTAGTTTAAATATATTACTCTCTCCGTCTAAAAATTATTATTTCGTTTGGATTTTTATATTTTAATTCAATTTGTATTCAAAATAAAAATTCAAACTACACAATAAACATGTTGAATATTATATTTATAGCTAAGTGATTAACTTAAAATTATATATATATATATATATTTTACAGGTTATAGTATCTCAAAATGTTGGGAGTTTGTCTTTTGAAATTAGTTTTGTTATTTCTATTATTTTGCCACACTCATGTGTGGTAGCTTATTGTTTGTCCGTCATCTCATTTTGCATTTTTAACTCATTTTACCTCTTAAACACAACATTCAATACAAAACGAACTACTGTCCAAACAACTATTCAACTTACATTTTAAAATTTAACTCAAACTACATTTTTAGCATAATATTTAATATAGTGTGCCCATTTATGAAATTGAAATAGTTCAGCGATTAAATTAAAAACTTTACAATAGTTTAGTGACCATCGACGTATGAAATTAATATAGTTCAGTGACCAAATTGAAGACTTTACAATAGTTTAAATCACCGATGGTCATTAAATTATTGTAAAATCTTCAATTTGATCACTGAACTATTTCAATTTCATAAATGGTCACTATCCTAAAATACCATCTAAACAATTTTTTCATCTTCCATTATGTTTTCCACTTAAACCACTTTCTAGATTTAAGTCAAAAATGAAAACAAAGACGTCCAATCAATTTAGGCCCTTCGGCTTCCTTCTTTTCACTCAAAAAGAAAAGAGTACATTTTTCTGTTTTTCTATTGGTATATAAAAAACTAGGGAATATTAGTGTATACATCCCAACGTTTATACCCTACTAGCGAATTCATCCCAAAGTTTTAGAATTCGTTAATAACGTCCCAAAGTTATCAAAATTGAGCATATCCATCCCATGACCTGCAAACCAACAAAAGTGACCTGGTATAACAGGTAAAATCATTTGGATCCCATATTTAACATTTTTACTTCTATTATTTTTGAATTTTTTAAACTCTTTTTAGTTTATTGAAACAAAAACAATATTTATAAATGGAGAAACTAAAACCTTTAAATTATTTTTAATGAATCTAATGTATTTATGATCAGATTCATCTTAATTTTTCGATAAAACTTGAAGAAACTTTCCAAAAAAATTTCTTTATTTTGAGTGAAAAAAGAATGATTATACTTTCACACACACACACACATATATATATATATCGTGTATTCAAAAATTAATTAATTTTGAGTTTATCCAAAATTATAAATTATTTCATTTGTGATGCATAAATTATTTTGATTAATTAAGTAAGTTTTTTTGAGTTTTTTAATATAGAAATTTTGTTTGTTTTTTAATGAACTAAAAATGACCAAAAAATTAAAAAAAAAAGAATAAAAAAAGAATAAATATGAGATCCAATAGATTTTTACTTGTTATATCAGGTTATTTTTTATGTTTTGTAGGTCATGGGATGTATCTGCTCAATTTTGATAACCTTGGGACGTAATTGATCAATTTTAAAATGTTGGGATGAATTAGCACACTGGTATAAACGTTGGGATGTATACACTCATTCACCCAAAAAAACTAGAAAAGACATTATAGCATCAATGATACTTAGAGAGACATAAGTTACTTTTACAATAATTATATTAGAGTACCATTCTGAAATAAATATCGTTTTAACAAAATAGAAAAATTCTAAAATAAATACTGTTTTTAGATTAAAATGCAATATTTGCTCAACTTTTTCAACAATGTACAGAAATTATTGTCCAAACTGAACCATAATTTCGATATAGAAAAAGTAATATTAATGGTCATTATTTGATTTAAGGATAATTTAATTATTTACATACCTAGTATTTAGGTATTTCTCCTATTCAAGTATTTCTTCAACCGTGTAAAATTGTCTAATACTATTACTTTAAAAGTGGGGAGAGTAATCGATTTGGCGACATAGCTATCGTTCCCACCAACTTGGCTCACATTACCATGAAATTAGCCGCAAAATTCTCTTTCCAGACATGCCATATTTCCACCTCAATTCCCATCCAACTCTAAGATCCTCAAAATTAATGCACTCTAATAATGATTTGTGGTGGTTAGTAACCCCCAAAAAGCATTTCTAACAAAAAGTGCCAAGAAACTTCCTAACTAATTTCCTGTTATTTCATATATTAAATGAATGAATGAGACTGAGAGAAGAACCCAGAGAAAGTTGCAAATGAGTCTCAACCTTGCACTGGAGAACAGCCCTTCCAAGACAAATGGTTTCTATACAATATACCACAGCTTCCTTCTCTCATTCCTATGTTTCTATAGACCGGAGAAAAAAAAAGGGTTCACCCTTGGTTCCTAGCAAAATAACTACCAGCACTTCTGTATATACAAACTAAACCTAATCTTCCTGTTCAAAATCCAACAGTGCAAACTTTACATGCAACCCGATTTTACCACCTTCAGTTGTCAGCTTAGCTGCAGTTACCAACCAGTGACCTGGTGTGTCATATGGTCCTCTTGAAATTTCTGTTGTATCAACAAACTTAAGCAGCCTTGTGGATCGAACTGGTACCGGAGGACCATCAGGGTATACACCCGAATTGAGGACGGCTGGATGCTGCTTCGGAGTATCATTGACTGCTCTCTGTGTGAATGTAAATGTGGTGCTGAGATTTGTGAGAAAATTGGACTTGCGCGAAGCTTCGGGTGCAACAGCCCATTCTGTCTTCCGAATGGAGCAATTTGGTAAGTGAGTATAAAGCAAACGGAGATGAAGTACATTCTTTGGCCAATTCCCCTTGGTGACGAGTTGTGCACCTGTTACTACAAAAACACCACTTGAATCTCCATTTAACCAGCTTGGATCGTGTTTTACCACAGAAGAGCATATGTTTGAGAATTTCTTCCATCTGACTGGTTCTAGAAATTGGAGATCTGATTCTAATTCATCAGAACCTCGCCATTGACATGGCTTTGGCATGCTACCATCAGCTGAAGTGAATGTCATGGTATTTGGGAGACTTGAAAGGTGCTGCACATGTATAGCCAACCGATTGCATTTTCTGCCTTCTAGATAAAGCCGCAAGCCAATAACTGGTTTCTTGGCACTCGAAACCTGGACATTTAAGGGAGCTCTTAATATGATGAACAAAATACATTGATTCATTCTTAACGAAACTATTGGCACAACTTTATGAAAATGTTATAGAATATAAACAAGGAAATGAGAAGAAATTGCTTCTCATCTTTCCTTCTTTCTTTTTTCTTTTTTTGTTTTCCCCTTTTCAGTGTGGATTGCAGCTCCCACCACAATTTTCCAATCCAAGACCTCGTGATTACAACCTAACAATCTTACACTTCCCTAAATGCACCAGATTTATAGTCAAATTACTGTCTTAGCAATTTTAACCATTATTTTCCCAATGATACAGCCAACCACACATAGTGGAGCTAAATTGTTATCTTAAGCCATATACATAGAAAAAATCTAAGATCTAAGATGACCTTGTTTAAAAACTCAGAAAAATCGCAACAAGCTGAAAACTTCTCAATTCGATATGTATTAAAATTTTCATTCTCCTGCTAGTATACTTAATAGCAGTAACAATCCATCTACCACATCTTAAACGAAACCAGCATGTTGCTCCATCGGCTAGTATTGACGAAGATTCAGCCTGCCCTTTCAAAGTTGATAAACTTCTAATTCTTCAACATGACCTATCTATTCTAAACCATCTACTTTATTATAGAAGTGCCTGTTCCTGCCTTCCATTCCTTTTGCTGCAAAGTCATTTGCAGGAGATAACATTACCAATGCTTATTAAGGCAGTATCTCCAACTAGAGAAATGACACTGCTGTATAGTCATATGTCCACTTGGGTGGCAGAGAAAACATTAAAATCTTTCCAAGTACAATTACAAGCTTACTTGGCCTACTTTATTCAAGATTTGATTGGGATTCCTGTAAATCAACTAACTTAGAAGCTTAACAAACAAGAACGAGACTTTAGGGTGGGATATATTGAATATCAAATTATAGTTATTTGATAAACTACGATACAAAATCAGAACTGGTGACCAGTTATTGATCAGGGCCGAAACTTGAAAAACAATGAACCAACTCTCTTATAATGAGTTACGAACATAAAGACAAACTATTAAGCCTTTTGAAATCTAAGCATTTTTTTTTATGACAGCGAAATAGAGAGGACGCTGGTACCTGAGCGGAGTTCACAAGAATTTTTGGACCTAAGAAACTGAACTGCAATGGAGGAGATGGAGCATTCCGTATCTGATGTCTCAGAGGCAGCTCACAATAAAGAGGTGCCCACTGTCTAGGGACTTGGAATTCCAAGAAATACTGTAAATCCTCCAAAGAAGGCTTGTCTAGAAATCCCAATGTCACAATTAGAATCAACATAAAAAAATTCTATGCAAATCAAAAGTAGACTAAGGAGCACTCACAGCGAAGATACAAGTTTATGGCATGACTAAGATAGCCACTTCCCGGGATTCCAGTAAGTAGAGAAGTAATAGGTACAAGTTTGAAGAGAATGGCTTCTGGGTTGCTAGCCACCGTCTGAAGCCAATTTGAGTGACTTTGTGCAAACACATCACCTCCTCTTTTTGACCATATGAGAGTGAGTCCCTGCTCAGTATTCGTTACATAAGTTCACTACCATAGACACCAATCGGAATTTTTGATGTGATCAGATGACTTACATCTTTGCTTGACGTTTCGGTAATACTAGTAAACTGCATGGTATGTGACTGTAACATACGATGGAAAACCTCGGGAACCTGCAAGCCCCATCATAGGTTAAGTTGCATGCAAAAAATAAATAAATAAATAAATAAAATCATCAAAGTGAAACCTTGTGATCTAATACAATTTACCTTTTCCTTTCCATCCTTTGATTTTCTCTCCTGTAGAGTACTAATTCCGTCAGAGAAAATAATATCTCCAAGGTCTTCCAGATACCCTTTAAGTTCAGCAGGAGAAATAGTTGACGAGGGTTTCTGCTTGACACAGATTACATCCTGGCCACCAACAGCAAAACCTACAACTATGTGCGTTCCATAGGTCTTAATGAACCTGCCAAATAAATCATAATGCAGATTTAGGCATAAGTATTTTCCAAACCTCAATGTGTTTCATTCGAGTACACGTTTTTCCAGTATCAACTAAAAACATATAGAAAATTGAAAGAAATATCAATGAAAAGAAAAGAAATAGTGCACTTCTCGAACCATGCATTCATTTTGGACACACGTAACAACGTTGTACAAGAAAATCAATCTTTTTTAATATCTCCACAATAAAGAATCAGAATCTAAATATACCTAAAGTAGTAATATGTTGAACTATTCTACTCATTCAGAATAAAAACTTGTAGTAGGTTCTTTTTAAAGACAGCATAGAAACACCAAGACAATATGTACGAACACTCACATGGTGACAAGACATTTACCATGAACCATATCATTGAATATTTTCTTTTTAGAGATTCAATTCTTTTTAAGAAGCCCAGCTAATTGGAGAATGTCATAACAGTTGAGGTTGCAGATTGATTACACAGATGCTTCGAAGATCCGCACCCAGACTGTAAAAAATGAAGTAAACCAACAAAACTAAACTAAGGAAGCAATGCAAATTACTTGAACCACTGCAGCATGACAACCAACAATTTGGCATCATTCTATATGAGAAAGCTTAATGCTAAAAAGGTAAATAACTTGAGTCATCAAGTATCCATCAATTACATAGAAAGAGCTCCAAGAGAAACTATTACGTAGTCAAAATGAATCCTGAATGGTGCATGCACGATGAGGAGACCAATGTTACATGAGGTCAAAGGAACTAAAACTGATAAGAGTAACATCTATGAACACAACCAGCATTGTTCTAAACAAATAAAAGATGTTGGTAAATGGAATAATCTTATAGGTTTTGCCCACGCAAATCTTTCAACACAAGGAAAATTGTAAAATTCATAAAGGTGGCAATTATGTATGAAATGGATACCTAGAGAGTTTAGCAGGATCCCACTGAGATGGTACAGATTTCTTCACTTGGTCATGGAGAACTAATGGGGATGCAGTGAGGTGTAGATAGTACAATGAGATAAAATAACCATCAAAAGCAAGATGTTTCACATCTCCAGAATCATTCAACCAGGCTCCACTTAAATCAAAAAGAGCATTCAAATATCCTGAAGGAACTTTGCCCTGCACTGACGATTTCTGATTTAGTAACTCCGACATCTGCAAAATAGCAATAAGCCGTTACGATTTCTGACTTATTAACTGAATAAATGTCATATATGGTGTTTGCCCAGGCTCACTTTCCCCTTTAAAAGTTACCATTTAGGAAGAAGACAACAGAAATCACAACTAGTGGGAACCTTAAAGATTTTCCAACACTCCAACAGAAGAAAACCAGGTTATGCAATCATTAATTAATTCCAAAAGTAGTCATGGATTAAACCTTACTTTCCATCCCTTGAAACCTAAACTCGAATGATATACAACCTAAGATATCATTTCTTTAGCATATCAATCATTTCCTAACTGTGTTTCGATAAATTTCTTCCCCAAGCTATATTCTCGTAAAAATACAATCTCAGACATCATTTTTTCTATATTCATTAATCTACAAATTCTTTCTTAGTGTACCCAGAATTACTGAAATAATCTCCATAGAGAAGTAGTGCTTTTATCACCCTGATCAGGATAACAGCTGCGAGAGGAACTGTCCAATCAAAAGGTCCAGTGGGGTATTTGATTTGGTTTAACTACACAAAACAATTGACCGAAAGGATAAGAAGCCAAATGAAAGATTAATTCAACTGCGATAATTAATGAACCAAAATGATCGATCATACAGCATTTCACAGATCAATCAAGTAACAACTAGACAACACAAGACTTTTTCCTTAATTGGTAGCAAAGTAAACATTATTTCAGCTGTAATCGGAAACATTCCCAACGAAAAAACAAAAACCAAAATTCAAGACAAAGAAACTTAAATAGCTCGATAAACTTCAAAAATTCCCCCCAAAAGAGAAATTTTTAGCTCCTTACTTGATTAAATTCAAGGACATCAGACTTGAATCGAATGCGGTCCCCTTTATCACATTTAATGCTTTGCGACACATCTGGGATAACTGGTCCAGCCCCTGAACTTCCACCACCGCCAGCGACCGCCGGAATCACGATATCCCGCCGATTCTTCTCATCCAAGTACACCAACTTACCGCCATCAGGCCTTTTCTTGACAAACTTCAACCTGAAATCACTAGCAAAATCAAAACCCGATCCCAAAGCTTCAACAGCTCTGAACTCAATCGGCTTTCTCCCACGGTCATCCCTTGATTCAAACATGTCCAGCTGAAAAAAAAATAATCAAACAGAAAAAGAAAAATTCAACCCAGAAAAGGAGATGGGAATTTGGTCTTGCCCTTTTCTTTTCTATCTTTAGAAATGCAAATGGGGGTTTGAATTCTGAGAAATGGTGACGATGGTTTGGTGGCGGTGATGATATGGCGGTATTAGGTGTTAAAAATGGAGGATTTATTTCATAGGACTCCACAGGAGTGATGAAAATGACTTCGAGAGTTGCTGACTTTTGACCAAAGGTAAGACTTTTCTGCGTTTGTTGGCTTTGTATTTATAGGTAAAGGACAAGCTGTATGATATTGAATACAAACATTCAACTGTTTTCTGCCTTCTTCTCCTTTGTTTGACCAAATTTTGAGTTCGTGAAGATGAGCAAATGTTGCGTACTTGCGTATAACTATTGTACCGCGAGCCATTGTATAATAAAATTATGATTTTTGTGAATCTATCAACAAAAGAAGATACCATAATGTTTTTTCTTGTGTGGTGATTGTAATACACTCATAATAAGATCGAAGAGCGATATATGGTAATGTTTCGTGTTAAGTTGGTGCCAAGATATACATTTAATTTAAGTGAGTTTAAAATTTTGATTCTGCGGAGCAGATAAATCGTATTAGGATGAATTCTGTAACTTGTTAAAAATGTACATGGAAAATAAGATATTCAATGTGGATGTTGGATAACGGGATTTCTGATGAATACATAGTAATTTTGTTTGGTTGTCGATGCCAAACTTTGGTTTTTATTTTAGGAACTACAATTAATTTAAAATTCTAGCAACAAATAATAATGTGTTAACAATGATTGTCGACTGATGAGTTAAAAAAATTAAAAAAACATTATCGGTTGAATTGAAACATGTACAGCGTGAAACAAATTATGTGACAGATTGATTGATTTCATTAACAATACAAGGAGTAAGAACATTTGAGAGTTTGGATACAATCCACCAAACAAAGTCAAACAAGACTAAAATACGATGTATTTCGTTCTCCATCTGCGCTTTATGCTAGTATAAATTTTTCTTTTATTTTGAATATTGACCAAAAAATAAAAAGATTTAACTAGGACTTGTATAGCCTTTTAAAGGCAAATTTTGGTTTTAGTCTTGTGCGTCAAGTGTTCCAATCTACTACTTATATAAAAGTGAGAGCGCTGAGTTCTACAAGACTTTTGTCGTCGGCCAATACCAATATTAATGAGGGCTCTTTTGTAAATTAACATAAATTTTGCCTTCTTCCCTGGGGTAGTTCAGAATCTAGATCCTTCTCCACAATGCGAATAAACACTTAGCGACTAGACTCCAGTATTCCAAATTTCTCTAGTTTCAGATTGTTCTATATATTTTTTTTTTCCTATCTGTGTATATATATTATAGTCAATCTTCCACGTCTTTTTCTCTGCCAGTGGGTAACATTGCTCCATCCCTCTCCTTTGTCCTTTGCCTAGTGACAAAGTTCTCCTCTCTCTCCCCTTATGTCCTAAAGAAGATAACACGGATTGGGTGTTTCAATCAACAAGGGATGATGATCTCATCTGAGTAAAAATTCTTTTTTTGCAACAACATATTGTATCGAAATTCTACTTCAAGAATAGTGGACAACAATGGTTACACTAGATCAAAGAACAAGAGGAAGAATTTATAGTTAGGATAAAAGAAAGTTTAGCCTCCAAATTACAAGTAAACTTGCTTTCCTTTAGGCTAAATTCGCCCACTATATAGTGCAATTGTTTAGGCGAATTTCCTATGAGATAAAATGAAGCTCATGTTATTTCACTATGCACTTTAGTGAACCAACAACCTGATACAAGGATAAAAAATGTCATTGAAAATATTTCAAATATTTGGTGATTTTATTGTACACTAAAAGCATCCAAATGATCCATATTTATAGAGTTTAGGTGACTTTTGAGAATTAGACATAACTCTTGGTTATGGTAATAGACATAACTTTTCATTAATGTCTGTCCTTTAGGCTAAATTCGCCCACTATACAGTGCAATTGTTTAGGCGAATTTCCTATGAGATAAAATGAAGCTCATGTTATTTCACTATGCACTTTAGTAAACCAACAACCTGATACAAGGATAAAAAATGTTATTGAAAATATTCCAAATATTTGGTGATTTTATTGTACACTAAAAGCATCCAAATGATCCATATTTATAGAGTTTAGATAACTTTTGAGAATTAGACATAACTCTTGGTTATGATAATAGACATAACTTTTTATTAATGTCTTTTCATATGGAGTCAATAGGCACAACTTATTAGTTGTGTCCCTGCAATATATTGGAAGCCAATAATAGGCACAACTTATTAGTTGTGTCCCTACAATATATTGAAAATAACTCCAACAATCCCCCGCTATTTTCAATATAAAATAATTCCAGCAAAACCCATGCATAAAATAATGGTGTCGTTAGACTTGAACTAATACCTTAGTGTTGGTTTCATAACTTGTAGTACAACCCGGTAGACTAGCTTTGAACCGTGCGTACTTGTTACAAGCCACTATTGTCAACACACATAGATTTCTTTTTCCTCAACTTGCCTGCACCTTACCAGTGCATGTGGTACGTAAGATCTTGTACCTATATCTCTTCATGAATGTTAACAAAGCCAAGTCCTAAGATTTGTGGATGCCCAGTCCGACATTTATATAGGCAAACTTCTTAATGCCCCCGCCATTTTGGTATTTACAAGAGTTTGTTAAGAGCCAATTCTCAACTTGATATCCAACGGAAATTATGTAGCACTAACTACTTCGGGATAAATATTGTAGTGCTCAATTACTTGTACATTGTACTATCGCTCGTTGAATTCAAGACTCGATTATTTGCTAGTTTTGAATTGAGGTTCCACTGCAAGCAATCATTTCTGGACTTTAGACACATTCCTTTTGTCATTCAATCTTTAGACCAAATGTATTTTAAGATTTAATCCTTACTTATGAGTTTGTAAACTCAAATTTTAAGGATCTCTTCACATGAGTCTATTGACTCCAGTCTTGTCAAGAATTTAATTCTCAACATGAGTTCTTTAATTCATCTTATGATCACAATTCAAAACAATACATGTAGACTAGTAATTAATATGATTATATTTAGCAATTTGAAAAAACCAATTTGTTCTTTCAAATCTCGCAATCAACCCAACAATGAAATCATTTTCCCTAATATGAAGTTTCATAATCACCGTGTCATGATTAATCATTTTCCCTAATATGAAGTTTCGTAATCACCGTGTCATGATTTCTCCTTCATATTTCCTGGAAAAAATTGGCTTCATTTCTCTTGTTACAAGAATTTTACACTTGAGCTCTTAGTGTCATTCCTTGTTACGATATGGTAGCTTTCGTATTACCTTATTCATTATTATCTAGGGTGATATGATATCAAACATGGACTTGATGCTTTGTCCATTTTTCACAATGTGGACTTAGGTCAAGGATCATTCTCCTTTTCCTTCAATTTTAATAGAGAATTCTTTTATCCTCTTTAAACTCTTACTCTATATGAAGAGTTCCAAGTTTTCCAAATATATGGCCTCCCTTTTCTTTGAGATATCATGGGAACTTTCAAGTATTGACACAAGCAATGCAAACATATAGTAAGACATGAATTTCCAAACCATATATTAACACGTATGATGTAAATTCATAACTATATCACTATTGTCATACTGTGATAAGCACCAATAAGTGTAACATCAATTTAAATAAAACTACTAACACACATAGTTAGTTTAATTTATTACTTATCATGTAAGTTTTCACGTGTCCAATTTGAGGTAATGTTGGTATTACAAAAACAAGAGATTTTGTTACTAAGTTTCAAATCTTGTCCCCATAACAAGATATATACCACAAATCAAAGGATTTAGCCCTCATTATTATTTGCTTCTTAAGCCTCAATGACCAATCATTGATCTCAGTTCGAGTTATCTTTTTATTTTTTTAACTGTTGTCAACATTAAGGTGTACCTATCTTCATTGAAGATAGCATCTATTAAAACCAATAGACCAATGATAATGCACGAAACATCTCTTTCTCCCAATTTCCTTGTATTAGGTTAAGGGACCTTGACAATTGACCGACAACCTCTAATTCTTAGTGATTGAGGTTCAGTTTCCTTTAGTGCAAAGAAAATATATAGGGCTTATAGAAGACTTAGTTGAATGGAATATGTGATCTATAAGCTTTAGGTTCTTAATGGTTTGATGTAATGGAAATTAACATAGAGATATAATTTAATTTGGTTATGTTGGGGCTCCTTGCTGGCATCGAGAGTGAACGTAGGGAATATTTGTGCCTGATCAGACATTGTTTATGTGAAAAAGAACTACAAAACCAAATCATGAGCATATAGGGAGGAAGGAGGATAATTCTAGTTCTCTGTCACTTTGTCAAGTAACATTCTCACTCCCCAAGTGATACTTTGTTCTGTTTCATTTTCACACCTGCACTTTAATCATATTTTAATTGATGTCTTTGTCTGTCTCTGTGGATCGACCCTGCTTACTACTTGCTACAAGTTTTGAGTAGGTTAATTAATCTTTGGTGGTCTCAACAACCTCACCATTCATTTAGGTTTTTATTTCCATTTACGTTTGAAGTTTTGTGCTTTATTTTGTTCTAAGTGTTTTTGTTGATTATATTTTGTCTATGGAAAGTTTATGCTTTATGATTTATCTTAATATTCTTGTTAAAATTTGCGTCATACTAATTTTTTTATTTATTCAAGCCAGTACTGACCAATGAGGGTTGTTATGGTTCTTGGTTGGATTGCAATTCAATATTGCTGGTTCTATGTCTGGGATCCCCTTACTCGTTGCCAGAGGAAGCTGGAAATAAATAGCGACCAGATTGTTTGTCGATGTAACAGAATCTGGCTAAATGTTGGTTGTTATGCTTATGGTAATGTGAAATGTAACAGTGTAGTAATGTGCTTGGCCTCTTTCAAACCTTAACACTACTAT